GCTCTACATAATCTTAAGATTCACAGAGGAGAGGAAAAAAGCATAGTGCAAAAATAACAGCATGCCACAATGCATCCTTGATGAGTCTGGACCTTGTCCCACAGCACCGTGCATCTCTCCTTTATGGAATTTATCACAGTTGCTGTTTTATAGATGTCTGTGTTGTTGGCCAAGTTTTGTATTTCTCTCTGGACTATAAACCACATAAAAAATAGTGAAGGTTCTATGTAGGCCACTACCATCACCCTAAAGCCTACTAAGTGCTAGCACATAGTAATACTTCATAAATCATTTCTGAATGGGTGAAAGTATGAAGGGTTTTGATTCCAAAAGAAGCATGGCTAGATTTTCATTTTGGGAAGTCTATCATTCTGACCAGAGGCAGATATACCTGTTAAGAGGCTGGTAGGGCCATCTGGGTGGATGAGATGTGGTGAGGAGACAAATTAGGGCAGACTACAGAGAGAAGGCAGGGAAATAAGAGCTATTTCAGAGTGTGGTGTCTGAGAAGATCAAAGAGGTTATGGAGAAATGGGAAACAGTGTGTCTTCCAGGTATTCAACTGGTGTGATCTTAATGTCATTCACAAAGAAGGAAACCCAGGGTTGGACAGAAGGAAAATGAGGTGTCCAGGATGCTGTACTACTCTCACATGGAGAAAGAGATCTCTAGAGTCCATTCATCCTGACAGACAGATTTGCACACAAGAAAGACTCAATCTGCCCAGCATTTGTTCTCATCTGTAACCAAGCAACTTCTCAAAACATAACCTTGAAGACATTCCTGAAGCTCAGGAGTTATTAACACAGTGGAAATTAAGTGCCTCTTCTGTCATTCCCCAGCTGCTGCTCTGAATGTCCAGTGGGCCCAAGAGTTCTCATGACAGTTGTTGGCTTTGTCTTTCATGAGGACTTGGCTTTGGCATGCCAACACTCTGCAAACTCCAACCTATATCTGTCTCTCTGGATCATGTAGAACATGGGGTGACCTCACTGAGTGGGTAGGCTTTGGGGCTCTGGCAAATATCTCTGCTCTCCCCTCTCTTTCTCTCTCAGAACACAAGATAGGATGAGCATTGAGTCATGGTGATATGAATCAATTGCCCAAATGACACATCTCACTTCTGGACAGAAGCTTCAAAAAGTGACACGTGACCCCATACCCCCCTTTCCTGTCTGCCAATTTTGAACATGGACATGTATTCTTGATCAATGGGGACACCTCATGGCCCATGATGAGTTAAGCCTTCCCCACACCCTCTATCAACAAATTTGGACACTTAATGATGTCTAGAAATGACTCACTTTCTGTTTCAGGCCACTAAGATATTGGGCTGTTTGTTACTGCAGCAGCATCTAGACTGTAGACCATCAGGAAGAAGCACTCTTCAACTGAATTTGAATGTCTATCCATTGAACAGAATTGTACAGGCAAAATCCTGAAATGGTCAACATCTTTCCCTAGAAAAGCTTTGATGGCAGAATGATATTAACTTGAATCTCAAAATGTGTCATTCATTCTATTTTCTCATGTATGAAGCAGAGGGAACAATACAACTGACACAGCAGTGAGGCTTAAAGGAATACTGTGTATCCTGCACTTGCCCAGCACCTGGCATCGCTGAAGCACAGATGGCAGTTCCCATGCCTTTGGCTCCCTCACTCAAGGCCCGTTCTTCTCTGCACTCACTCTCTTTCCAACTGCATTGAGATCACGAGGGCTTAAGAAGTTGGTGAGTAGAAAGAAACTCAGGCATAATCCTTTTGTAGGAAGGGCTGTTGAAATGCAGTCAAGTGACATGTCCATGGTCACATAGTTGCCATGACCTCATGGGTCCCCACCTCAGGTAACCTTGAGCAAACTATCCTTTGTATTTGAGACTTTACCCCCTCCTCTATGAAACCATAGTAATAACAGGGTCCATCTGTGATAAACCACATTGCTGTTCACCCAAATCTGACTCTCCTCCCTGCAGTGCCCCTTGCCTTCTGTAGCCCAGGTTTGGTTTTGTGACTTGCTCTGGCCAATCAAATATGAACAGATATCTGATGATTATGGGTAGGAACTTCAATAGTCCCTGTGTGGTTCACCAAGCAACCTGCTCCCTCAGCCACAGTAACCAGTGGTTCTCCAGCTGTCTAGGTCCCTAAGTGAAGATGTCATGGGGCAGACAGACATTCAATCTACCAGGAGCAAGTGGTATGACCAGGAGATAGGCTTCTGCTATTAGAAACTACCGAGATGTTGACGTCACTTGTTAGAGCTGCAGTACTTAGTCTATCCTTTAGTAAAAGGAGTCAGGAAACAATATAGCTAGAACTATCTAGCAGATAGTAGATTTCCATAAATACTGATCATCCCCTCTAGGTCAACATTCTGAGTGTTTCTGTTATTGTATGAAAAAACTTTTATGCATTGTCTTAGTCTGGGCTACTATAGTCGAAGACCACATGCTGGGTGACTTAGGAACAATGGGAATTTATTTTTTCACAATTCCGGGGAGTTCCAAGAAACGGCAAGTAGATCTGGCATCTGTGAGAACCAGCTGCCTGATGATTGAGGACCCTCTTGTCACTCTGTCCACACATGATAGAAGAAACGAGGGAACTTCTGGGTCAATTTTATCAGGGCACTAAAGCTATTTAGGGGGGACTCCACCCTCATGATCTAATCACCTCCTAAAGGTACCACCTCCTAATGCCATCCCCTCAGGATCAGGCTTCAGCTATGGATTGGAGGGAGACACATTCTGTGCACAGGGGGCTGACACAAAGTAGGTACACGTTAAGCATTAGATCCCTACTTTTCCTGCATTCTGCTGCCTCCCCAAACTCTTTTCCTATAAATTACATCTTCCGAGAAAGCTCCTCCATCTCCTTATTCCTTCTTTTCAGCTGGGACTCACACCATGTTCCTCGGCATGTTTTATCTCCTGTTTGCTGCGTAAATAATCAGTCCTATCCAAGGGGCAACGCGTATGCCATGGTCCCAGGGCTGGCACAGCACTTAGCTGAGCTCTTAACGTGCGGTGTGGAGAAAAGGAACAGCAGGTTGGGAGAGAGGCCTCATGTAACATAGTTCTGGCCACTTACATTCATCTGAGGAGAGAGAAGGGATGCATTTGGGCTGCAATTCTGCACCTTATAAATAGACATATATAGCTTTGCATACATTATTAATATGGGCTTTATTGCCAGCTTTATTGAATCCACGATAGTGCTTCTCTTGGGAAGCCATACAACACAGAAAGATTGCACAGACGCCTACATTAAGCAGGACCACGGTATACCGAGCAAATAGGGCTGTGCAAACAGCACTGTTCACGCTGGCTGCTTCCTACAATCCAAATAACATAATAACAAATAATGTGCTCAAGCAAGCCCAGAGTCGCTATTTGAAGTGTTTTGTGTATTCCTTGTCTGTGTGGCTTCTGCTAGCACAGGAGGAGGCAGGGCAAATGCACTTTTAAGAATTTCCTTAGCAGGACCTACTGAGCCCCTGCTTCCGGCGTGACTTCACCTGGTCCCGGGGTTCTCTCCCTGGCTCGCCCTGAAGATGCCTTCACCAAGCAGTAGCATCTCCTGCTTCTAGTTCTTCACTCTCCAAGTGCCCTCACCTCAGAGTGCGCAGACACACACGTGGACACACATGTGCACGCACACACACCCCCTTTAGGTAACTGGATATTTACACTCACCCGCTCCCTGTTTATTACTGGCAGTAATTGCTAGAGGTCTTTTCTTTCTTTATATCTTTCCATCTTTATCATCGGTCACCCCAACTAGGGCACAAACTTCAAGAGAGCTGGGACCCTATGGGGCTTGCTCATCGTTGGATCACCAACATAGACAACAGTGATTGGCATGATTGGGAGCAGTCCTGGCAAGAGGTAAGACACTCTCTCTGCTCTTAGAGGCAGAGAAGCGCGGCTCTCAAACACGTCAGCCTGGGCTCCGACACCTCCAATCAGAGCCTCGATCCCTAGGCGAGAGGGACATCCCCTAGGAGGATGCTCAGACACAGAAATGCTGCATGAAGACAGAAAGCCCACACTCTGGAAAGGCTGTGCTGAGACCAGGGTGGAAGGAGGTGCAGGACGGGAACCAACTTGCAAGTTGTATTTTAAAAAAAGTAGCAGGGAAAGTCAGACAGTCACTTATATGACGAGAAAAAGTGACTACAAGAAATTTTGTCTTAAACACCTGCCAGTAACCTTCTTGCAGTTGCGTGTAGCCGAGCTCGGTGGCTGTGAAGAATCCAGCGCACGCACAGGCAGGCATGAACGATTTGCCCGTCGTCCAAGCACTCACTGCACACTCCCTTGTGTACACACTGACATTGAAAAAGATTTATTGATGACCCCCAGAGGGACATCATTTGTGTTGATTTTTGGAGGAGGTCTTGTCAAGAGGGGAATGTGTGGTTCTGGCTCGGGAATCGTGCCGTGACCCAGACTCAACTCTGCTGGACTCCAAGCCCGCTCTTTCCTCTTCTGGACCGAATGTTGCCTCAGCTCTCAGGTGGTTCTGCGTTCTGTGGACTTTAAGGCCAAAGCTCCACAAAGATGGAACCTTACAAATAAGAACTATGGGCCTCTCTGGTGGCGCAGGGGTTAAAGACAGTGCTATCGGGCTATCACCGGCCACTGCAGTTGAGCTCAATTCCTAGCCGGCCAGGGAGCAACCCACGTGGCACAGCAGACCTCTCTGTTTTCCCGCTGCTCCCCTCAGCAGTGGATTTCAGTAAATCAGCCTGTTTTGCTCCCCACTCTGTCTCTGGCAAATCACCTCACCACCCTACACCTCTGGCCTACACCCCAGTTCTTGTATGCATAAACAAATAAATCTTCAAAAAAAAAATAAAATAAAGACTGTGATAACTAGGGAGAGCCCAGGACAGGGGCGGCCAACTTTTCCTGTAAACAGTCAGATAGGAAACATTTTCTACTTTGTCACCATCAGGTCTCCATGACAACAGCTCACCTCAGCCACAGATGTCTGTACGTGAATGGGTATGGCTGCCTTCCAATAAAACTTTATTTACAAAACCAGATGGAGGGCCTTATTTGGCCTACAGAGTAGAGTTTGCAGACCTGGCTTTAGTACCACATGTCAGCCTGGCTTCCACCTCCACTAGCTGTATGCCCTCGAAGAATGAGCTGCCTCCCTCAGCTTCTGCTTTCTCTTCTGCAAATGGCATATAATCCCCACCATGGAGCTCTGTGAAGAGGAATGAGAAACATCTGTGAGATTGTCAGTGCCCCTGCTGCATGCAGAGCAAATTGGTGGCTTTGCTCTGGCTGCTGTTGTGTGTGTTTTTGGCTTTTGGTTGCTGGTACCTCCATCAGGTGCAATTAAAAATGCAGCCCAATCTAGGAGCCAGTAGCCCTGGAGAAAAACAAAATGTTCACCAGGGCTGAGTCAGGAAAGGAGATGTTCTCTTTCCAACTGCGCTTTTCGTTAGCTCTGTCTGAAACTGTCTCTAATTCCTAAAGGACTCGGGCCATTTAAGTGGATTTGATTGGTATTAATTATTAAAAACAATTATTTATTAATAAATAAGAATTCTAAGAATGCCTTGCACGACGTGTTCCATGCTTTCTATTTTCTTTTATTTTTGCTTTATTCTTTTCAAAAGGCTTTTAAACTGGGGCACAACGTGTACCAGGAGGCACATGAAGATTCAGGGGGGTGGTGGGAAGGCATCTTCCTAGAGTGTCAACTGTGCCTGATTTGGGGGGAAAACAACATTATTTTTTATTAAAACCAGCTTGAATATATTATGGAGCAGAATATAGAATGTGTGTGGGTTTTTTTTTTTTTTTTTTTTGTCAAGATAAAGTATGAGACTTCAAAGATATTTCAAGTTTGAGATCCACCACTTTGGGCTGTGCCCCAGATGGCTGCGATGTAGGAGAATGATTCTGTCTTTCTGCACAGCCCCTGCAAAGCGTGCAGAGAAGGATTCTTGCAAATTCTGCAGATGAAGAAACTGTACGGGGAAGTTGGATGCCTTGCTCAAAGTCGCCCCAGAACTCGGCTGCAGAAGGAGTCATTAAATCTATGACTGCTGGCTCCCAGACCCCTGATCACGCGTGTGTGCTGAGTGATGTGCCCCATGATGAGGCAGGGATGAGGCACAGACAAGGCAGGGATGAGGCAGGTACCAAGAGCAGGCGTTAAGGGTCAGGGGAGGAAATCCAGTGGAGGTTAAATTAAGGAAGGTCCAGATAGACATAAAACTCTCAACTTCTACGTGCTATGGGCCAGGTAAGTTTGAGTCACACCTAACCCCCACTGCACCCCCATAATGATCAGGTCCTTTCACCTTAGTCTTTACCTCAGTTTCTCCCATGGCTCTCCCCCTAGACTGTAAACTCTGCAGCTCACTGGCTCTTAGTGCAAGCAGGACGCATCTCCCAAAGTATAGATTGTGCTTTCCCACCAGAAAAGGCCCTGCCTGCAAACCTTCCTGGCCCCCATCCTGCAGGGCACAGGGTCCATCTCTGTGCCTCTCCGGGCCCATCAGGAGGATCTGACTCCCAACCTTTGCCTTTTCACCCCATGGAGTATCCTATATTTTCCCACAAAGGCCATGCTGGCCCCCTTTGGCACACCGGGTGTCTTTACTAAGTCAATCCAGAGAGTCCTGTGTCCAAAGCCTGTCCACCATTTGGGCTTGTATGAGCTCAGGAACATCCCTGGCCTCTCCCCTGACAGCCACCACCCCCCAACCTGCAACGCAGAGCAGGACGCCTCACAGACTGCAGGGGAGGGTGGCAGCCCCTGTGGAGAGCTGCCCAGGGTGGATCCTGCAGAGGGGTCTGAAGTTTTGGCTCCCCCTCCACACTCACCCACTCTGGATGAGCCCAGGCCCCAACAGACCTTCACCTATAACAGATTGGAACCCTGGAAAGAGCTGCAACGGGGTGTCTCAGGGACGGGGGGTGGGGATAGAGAGCCCCTGGTCAGTGTGCTTTGGTCGCTCAGGCTGGGTGGGTTTTAACACAGGCCTCCAAATAAAACACATATCGGGACCCTGACCCAATTTCTGGCTCCATGCCCTCCGCTGCCGGCTCTTAGCAGCACCCCTGATATCCCGCCCGGCGTCGGAGGGGATCTATTTATAGCAGGCATCATTAACTCTCCACCGGCAGTCCCCGGAGCCTCACCTGATCCCCGCTCCTCCCGCAGAAGTTGACTTCAGAGGGTTTTCTGAGAGTTCTTTGTAATATTAGTTAACATGTACAGGAAAGCCCCAAGGTCATGTTCCGCGCTTGGCACCCTTCACTTCAGATTTGAGAAATCCCCTAAAACTCTCATTAGCGAAGGCTGCCTCACACCCATGAAACTTTAAAAATATCTGGCTAATCAGCCACTTTGCACACCTCCACGCGGGCAGAGCGCGCCTCGGCTTTCCTCCGCACCCCTTCTCCTGGCATCGCATTCCTGCAGACGAGAGCTGTCAAAATCTGACTTCCCCTGGTATTTAAAATAAAATGAAGGGCGCTTCTCATCTGAAACCAGCATTACCACTTAAAGAGAAACTGGGCGAGCAGCAGACCGTAGAGCGGGGAGGTGGCATTCCGGAAGACCCTCCTTGTTCTGGTTCCTTTGGGGCGCCAGAAGGAATGGCTGGGATTTAAAGCAATATGAACCAGAATAACATGAAGACGAAATCGCCACTGATGAAGTGGCTGCCACATGCCATGCTCCAAGAAAACTGCTCAATCACATTATCCCCGAGTTCAGGAAGAACCTGGAAAGTAAAGCCCAGCTGACCTCAGGAGACTGAGGCCGAAGGCTGCACGGGCATTTTCAGACCAAAGAGACAGCAGTGGCCCAGCCTGGATTCTCCCCTGGCTCTAAAAATCCCTGTTCCTGCAGATTTTTCGAATCCATTTAAGCACCAAAGCTGTCTGGGGACAGGTGCTGTTGCCCAGCCTCCACCTCAGGGAGTGCGCAGAGATCTCCACACAATACCACCCCATCCGCAGGTGAAAACAAGGTTCCAGCTTCTGAGCAGGGAGAACAGAGAAAGGCAGGTCATGGATAGGAGGAAGCTTGCTGGGTTGGGCCAAAGAAGGGACTTGAGGAAATCATCAGGTATGGAACTGAGCCAGGAGAAAGAAGTACGTGCTGTCACGCAGCCAAGGAACAAAGCAGCAGCAGTTGATCCATTCTGGATTTCCTGCCAAGAGGCACGTGACCGGGAAGGAGACATGACCCAGAAAGATGGCTGTAGGATGGAGATGACTGGCCATTTAGTGTAGAAATACAAGGAACCTCCATCTAAAGAGCCCATCATCACAATGAAGTAGACATGGTGCTAGGGTTGCAGAGGACGTAAGACACTGGCTTGCTCCTTAAAGAGCACATAGTGGGTCAAAGGATGGACTTGTAGGCAGACAGCATGGCTGGGGTGGTGAGCACTGTGCTCCACATATATGCAAGAGGACAAGGAGTGTACAGAGGAGGTGCCTCTAACCCAGTAAAGGCAAGTCAAGAAAGGCTTCCTGGAGGCGGTGATGTCTGAGCTGCTGCTTGTTCTAGTTAGGCTGTGAGAACAAAGAGGGACAGACACCAAGTCCTCCCCACAAGATGGCTGAAAAGAGACTTTTACAAATTTCTAACCTCATTCAAAATTAACTTGGGTACTGAGATAAGAGGAACAAACACTGTGTTTGGGGAAGAGAAGGTAGCAGAAGTGACTCAGTGGATCCATGGGGGAGGAAAGTGAGATAAAGTCGAGTAATTCACATACTGCAATTGTAATAATGACCCAACCACATGGATGCCAGGACTCAGAAGAGGGTAAAGGCTGGAAAGAGCAGTCAGCAAAGTGGAGGAGGTGCAAAGTGGGGGCAGACTAGATTTTATGTCGGTAGATATGTGTAGAGCAGCACACAGTGTAGTCACTGAGATGTGGGTGAGCGTAACTGAACCAATCCTGCTCCTTGTCTATGGAGCCCCCTAGGCAGGGCTGGTTGATGAAGGGTCAGTGCAATGCACAATCAGTCCGTGCATCCCAAGTTGTCCTTCTTGAGCAGTGATGCAGGGGTCAGGGATTCCTTGAGCACAGAAGATGCTACAGATAGTCTACACACTAATCTACATGGGCATGATCTAAATCATCTAAATCTAGGCAAGCATGCTTGCATTTGATCAAAACCATCTTCCTCTTCCTATTTGGTTGTTTAAGCTTCCAGTGTGTCTGTTTATTCCACCACGACCTTTGGGGGTGAACTCCCATCAACTGTATTTACTCTAAATGGCAGCAGTGTGATGAAGGAACTCCAGTCTACCATACTGATGAGAACAGAAGACGTGTATTTAGATGACTATCACCTTCCTTTTAATAGATTTCTCAGCGTGCTCTGAGCCACATGTAGAAAATGCAGAGCAGGATCTTAACCAGAGGCACCTAGAACCCTTGGAACCCTCTGAAAATTTTTATTGTATTTTGGGTACATGTAGATGTGTGCATTTCCCCCATGGCGAATGAATCCATTGCTATAAACACCTGTGTGTGCACACATGCACACACACACACACACACACTCACACACACACGGATTTAGGTAGTTGAGACTGAGTAAAGCTTTTGATGTTGGAAGCCTGACATCTGTACATTAGCTCCTGTCCAAAATAAATTATTTTCTCTACCTTCATGTCTTTATGGCCTCTTGGCTAAACCAGGTTTATTCTTCCAATTCCTTTCAGATAAGCAGGATCTGATAAGTGATGGTGAAGGTGAGCCAGCGTCACCATTGTGCCACGTGAGGCCATCCCCCAACGGATGCGTTGGATAACGGCCCTAGAAAAGATATGCACAGAGAGGCCTGGTTAGCCAGAGTTTGGCAGGGTGACCTGAGGGAGCTGTTTCAGTGGAGCAAACCGGATGAAGTGGACATGAATTAAAATGCAAAAGGTTTGATTTGCATTGGCTTGAACAGACAGGGGCTTTTATGTGCGTCTGGTACCGTGTCCATGCGGATGTCGATGGCAACCACACCGCATTTGCCATTTGCCCACTGGGTGTTTGTAAAAAATGGAGTCATTCCCATCCTGCAAACAGCCCACAGATATATTAAATACCTCATTTCGTGATGGACATCTGGACTCCGAACCTGCCAGGAGCGCCTGGGCGCACAGCTTTGTGATGGAGAAAGGCCCCGTCAAACGTGGAAGTCGGCACGTGCGCCTACGTGGCAGGTGCGGCCTCATCTGCAAAGCAGGGCACACACATTCGCTGTGATTTCAGCTGTGCCCGAGCTGCTGTCCACATTCACCACACTCAGATGTGGGCAGAAGCCACCAGGTTCATACCAGTGGCATCTGCCAACGTCCTGATTCCCTGATTCTCCCACTCTGGCCAGTTGATGGTGGCACCTACGAGGTGAGACTCCTGGGCGGGTAGGAATAGCTGGCAGGCTCCTGTAAGTTAGGATTCTGTGGGGAGGAAAAGAAAACACGGGGTTGGCTAAACATGCTGAAACAGCGTGGGATGAAGGAACACTCTGTTATGGGGTGAGAGCGAGCGTCATCTCCCCACCAAGTAGATGATGAAGTCCGGGGTCAGGTGTGCTCAGGATGATTCACACCAACTCGCCCAGGTCTGGAATTTGCTTCTTGTCCTTCACCTTTTGTGCTGAGCAGCTCCTGGAAGCGTCTGCCGGTGAAGGCTGCGAGCGTTTCAGTGTGCCACCTCGTGGCCAGAGAGATGACAGCGCACACTCCTGATTGTCCAAGCTGGGGTCTCTAAGTAGGCTGTTCACGACTCGGTGTACTCCTGCGCTCCCACACCAGCGTTGGCTTCCAAAGTTTCCATTCAAATAGAAATGTTTACCAAAGGAAAAAGAAAGGCAGCAAGCAGGGAGGCCTGTAAGACCCGATGACTTGATCGCATGCTATTTCCCAAAGCGGAAAAGGAAAAGGAGGCATGGTGTTTTGAGGGCACATGCAAAGATCGTATCTAGGTATGCACGTGTGTGTGCACACTGAGTCTCTGCAAAAAAACGGAGTCATTCAAAGACAGCTCTCTGGCCAGCATGCATCAAAAGCTCCAGAGGCAAAGACCTTGCAATTGCAAGTAAGTTTCTGTCTTTCCTTCCATGTCAATACATTTTACTTGTCCTGCACCAATGACCCAGCAGGCTAAGCTCAGGAGAAGAAAGATTGTGAGTACCTACTGTGTGCCTGGAACTGTGCTAGCAAGGTGCATATACGTCACTCATTTATACACTTGTAACCCCGATTACTAGGGACTCTACTACGTCAGAGCCCAAGGTGGACCCAAGAGCAGAAATCTCTCTGTAACTCACATTTCTCAAACTCTCTCTGCAGAAGGGCTTGCATTCGAGAACATTTTATGCACCCACAGTGCAAGGCTTTTATTTTTAAAAAATAGTTCTAGGAAAATAAAACAAAATGTACAATATGCCAGTCCAAACTTACCGAATTATTTTGTCATTAGATTTAATAACATGTTTCGATGTTAGCGTTAACATATAGAATCACTACACCCAATTCCTCTCAGTGTTCTAAGTGCTTACTCTCACTCTCCACGTTAGCTACAGAGAAGCCACAGGCAGAGACTGGATTCGGTCTGCAGATAGCACACTGAATAGAGCTGATCCACACAGTCCTCACCAAGCAACAACCCGTTTCTGAACATCTTCCATGATGGGAACTAACTACCTCGCAGGCAGCTGAACCCACTGTTGAGCTCTAATGAGCAGAGACCACAATCTGTGGCTCTGGATGGTCCCCCACACTCAAGTGTGCACTGTCCACCAGAAGGCCAGTTTTCAGGAGAAACTGCAGAGCAGCAATAATGGAAGGCTTCACCCCATTGACGGGCTTCTCTGCCCCCAAATCCCTGAGTCTTCCAGAAGAGGAGGAAAGAGAAAGCCAATAGTTCAGGATGCTAATATGGCTTAGCTGTGTCTGCAGTGCACAAGGACATCTTGGAATTCAAAGGCACGCAGCTGGGAGTTCCCCCCTCTCTGGCTTAATCCCCGTCCTCTTGGTGGAAAGGGACAGGTGGGTGGCTGCTGATGACACGCGGGCATGCAGAAGGGTTCTCTCATTTTCTTGCATAAACTTGAAGGCCATCACTCTAAGTTCCTGCTCCCTGTGGCTGAGCAGTTATGGGAAGACCCATGGATTCAAGTTCAAGTTTAAAGAAGGAGGTGGAGGGCCTGCCTAGGATTCAGGCTGAAGCCAGAAGCTCCAAGACAGCTCTCTGGCAAGGCTCCACGGAGGTTCTCAGCCCTCAACAACGCTAGTAGCAAAGTCTTACCTGGATCCTCAGGCACTCTGCCTCTTGCCTACAGCGCAACGCTCTTTCCTCAACAAACATCCTGGGCCTTAGTTCCTTCCTTGGGGTGTTGGGGGAGGAATTAAAACAATTTACTTCACAGAGTGGCCATGAAAATTAAGTGAGTTGCTCTTAACCTTGATTTTGATAGATTTCCACTGGCTCATAACTTCCCAGGGACTTGGAGAAGGTGTGTGATTGGAAAAGGCCTGGATGTTTCTGGAAATCCTCATCAATACCACAAAAGACACTTATCCCCCCTGAGAGAATTTAAAAGGTTGGAGTCTGGTGTGAACAGCGAGAAGCAGAAAGGGAGGCCGACCTTCCCGGCCCCACAGGTGTGCCTCCTGTCTGTCTCCCTGCTGACTGACACTGTCATGGCTGATGGTCGCTTGGCCTTCTGGTGTCAAAAGTAAAGACAAAGCTCCACCCAGCTGTCTATGTGACGTTTCCACCAGCCAAGACACCCAAGGAGCGTCCATTTGTGATTTCCTAAGCATGACCCCTCTTTCTGCAGTTGATGCTGTTCTTTGGGGAATTCAGTCTGGAATCTTCGGTCTTCCTGTTCAATTTGATCTTGATTTGGCCCACTGCTTCCAAATATAATTAGTATTGACTAGAGATGTCATCTATTGCAGTGTTTTACACACATCATGTTTTTGTTTTGTTTTGTTTTGTTACCATAAAACTCTTTCTTATGTTAAATCCAAGATGTTATAGAGGTGACGGGGGAAAAATAGGAAGGGGCAGGATCTGGTCCACTTGCCTTGTGCAGAACCACTGAAAGTACTTGATAAAATCCCTAGAAGAAAAATTGTGATGGTGCTTCTTTGAGTCTGTAATTTACCAGTGGAGAAACTGAGGCCAAGGGAGCGGAGGAGAGTTGTCCAGAATGATGCAGCTAATTAATAGAGTGCCTGGGTTTCTTTCCTCCCCGCTAGGAAAATGGAAATGGGAATTTCATCTTTCCCTGGGCCAGACTCTTAAATGTCAGGATCTATCAGCTTTGGAGATTTTTCTATGAACTTGGGGTCATAGGTTGAGCCTTTAATCAAATAATAGAGTTGATCCCTTGCAGGTCAAGTGGATCCCATAAAGTGTGCTCACACATCATTAACCACCTGCCCAATCTTGGGTGTGTGCGCTGCTGCTCATCTCAGTGGGATGTGGCTGGAGAGAAAGGGCTTGGGTTGGGACGTCAGTGCAGGGTGTGGAGCGTATATTCTTGGGTATTTATTTCTTATTTGTTAAGGTCTTCTGACTCTAGAAACACCCCCACATTGCCGAACCCCAAACTGAGACTCCGAGCTGAGTTCCCAGGTCCCTGTGGAAATCTTGCTCCTCGTGTTTCCTGGAACACAGCAGAAAAGTTGTCTGGAGACAGGAGTAACCTTGCCAGCCACAGCTAGGGACCCCCAGAGGCCACCGGGTCATGGGAACTCAGGGCAAGGAAGCAGACACCCCTGCTGCCAACCTGTCCAAAGTGTGGAAGGACAGGAAGGAAGACGCAAGCTGGAGGGTTTGTCCTTCGCAGAGAGCTGGAGCTACCAAGCATTACCCATCATCGGGGTCTTTGTTTTTCTCAAAAAAAAATAATGGTTCTCTGCCCACGCTCCACCCAGCTGTCTACAATGATAAATGATGGGCCTTTCTTTACATTTCCTTTCTGCTCAGCATGAGGACCGGCCAGTGTGGATATGTGCTCGACGCGGATAAATGGCTCTGGCAAGCCCTCCAGATTGTCCACGTGGCAACAGATGGCCCAGCTCAGAGCTTTTGTTGTGCTAATGTGGGAACTTGCTGCTACCTGAAGCAGTTATCATTTCACAAACAATGATGCTGCCATCGTGCTGTGGATAAATTGTCCTTTATACTTTGCAGGGACCACCGTGGGTGTTGACAGCTTCATGATGGTAAGAAGTGAACCCCCAGTCACTCAGCTGCGGTGGCAGCCAGAGAGGAAAACTTGGTGGGATGGAGAGAGCATGTGTGGAGGCGGGAGCTGGCAGATGTCTGCATGCCACCTGGGTGCCTGGGCACCTACCCTGAGCCAGGGCCCATGAGGACAGACATTGCCACTTCACCAAAGGGTCAAAAGTAAAGGCAAAGTGTCCCCTTGGGATCTTCACTTGTACATTTTATTCCCTTGGCAGAAACTATAACAACGATAGACGGGGAGAGAGGAAGACTTTTGCAGGTACCTACTATGTCCAAAGTGCTGTAATAACATTCTTATTTAATTAATGTTGCTGCTACCTGTCACAGGAGGAGGAGCTAACTTAGTGACGGGCTTCTTAAATGCCAGGCACTCTGCTAAACCCTTTACATGAGTGACCTGGTTACAGGAAACTTTGGGAGGAACTGGGCAGGGGTGTGCTCATAAACCGGGCTCCGAAGCCTTGGTAGTGTTTGCCCATTTCTATGGTTTAAATCTTTGCACGGTTATCAATTTCAGACTACCAACAACTGAACAACCTGCTCGTATAAATCCTGAATATTTAACAATCAGCCTCCATGAGCCAGAGCAAGCCAATTCTAGCACATTGCTGGAACAGAGGTACAAAAATCCTCTTTGCCCAAGATCATACCATGATGAAGGAACAGAGCAAGGATGTCCACCCAAGGACACCTCTGTCCCTGGAAAGACAAGGTCCACCAAGCATCACCAAATCCGTAAGTCCACTGGCCCCTTCAATCCACACACCTCTGAGAAGCAGACACTGCAGGAGACCTGGGTCTTTCAGGAGAGCCAGGAACCTGCCCTTGCCATGCACTCCTGGGTGGTGAGACAGTTCACACCCGGCTAGTGTGGATCCACAGCCAGGGTTCTGGCCCACAGCCCTTTGCTTCTGGTGCCAGCCAATAACAAAGCTCAAAGCTGGAATGAACATTTTTCACATCTTAGTTTTTCCTTGGGTGGAGAATCCTCAGAAACCAAGATGACAAGTACACCGAAGAAATCCACATCTATGGGTGGAATCTCAGACACAGGTAATCACAGGTGACATTGGGAGAGCAGCTTACTGGGTTCCTCAAATCATAACTCAGGAGTCATATAGAGGGACAGCAGCCCACTTGGTTAGAAATTACTTGAGGTGGAGCTGTTGATGTTACTCAGATTCTTGAAAGG